GGGCTTTCAAATCCCGTGGGAAGGTTTAAAACACCGGCAGCAAGAAGGAGGAAAGAAGAAACAAGGAATTCATTCACTGCAGTTCAGGGCATGAAGGCTTCTGACGGGCTTCACTGGCAGATATGAGCGAGACTCTGAAACGAAGCGCTCTCCTATCATGGCCCACAACCCCCCTGATATTTTTAATATCTCTCCCGGTCGAAAAATATCCCCTTGCCTTCAACACTTCCACCTCCGGTGGCATTTGGCGTTGTTCGTCCCTTTAATGTTGTCGATTTCGGGGATAAAACGTGTCTGATCGGGCAAAATAATTGCCCCTTAATTTCTGAGCTAGCTACTTCTGCGTGGTCACAGAAATAGGATTTGTTTAATAGAACATGAGCAAAATATGATCTGTGACTCAAGGCGTTTGGTCATCCATCCTCTTCCAAGGTAATGGGCTTTGGAAGAGGCACTTACCCAGAGGAGGAAAAAAAATCAACTTGGGCAGGCACACGAGCAAAATACGCAAAGCCCTAGAAATAGGTCAGCTCATTTTTTCCTTGATTAACTTCCGCGGCGAGGACGGTGAGCTCATGTGGAGGTGTGAAACACAGGCTCAGGCATTCCCACCTTCCTGAGCTTCTTTCTTTGCTTCTTTCTTCTTTCATTTCCCTTTAGGAAATAAGTGATGACTTTTGCGCGCTTATTTCCCAATTTCTTTATTTCGCTCGCCCTTCAGCTTGCCGCCTATTAGGTCAGCAAGCCGTGACGTCACTTCTGTATTACCCTTGACCGTGACTAGGCGTTGGTTGACCTTGACATCACGAGCTGCGGGCATAATAAGTGAGGGGACCCCTCACCCTTGATCTTCCCCTAACCGGCCATCTCGGAGCAGCTCCTGCTCCTGTTTACAGATAAACAAGGTGTTATTTGAAGTCTAGACAGCCAGGCTAATGGCCAACAATAAAGTTCTGAAAAGGAAGTTTCCCAAGTTTAAGCCTTTTCTTTCCTTTGTATTGGGTACTTTGAATAACTTCCCAACCGCAGCCTTTATGGTAAAATCCTGGACGAGGGATTTCCCTCTCCCTTATTTTTTTAATGCATGTATTGTTTTGTTTTCTTTTTTTTTCCAGCCATTCTTCTTTTTTCCTACTTTTTTTTATTTGCTCACATTTGCAAATGCAAATGCTTTGCAAATTGCAATGCTTTGAAAATGCATTTTTTAAATAACAGTTTCCTACTCTGGAGGGAGGAATTCTGATGTCGCAGCACCATGCTCGATGCTAAGGTGAGTATAATTGTTGCTCCTTTGCCGTTTCAATTTGTTTGGGTAGGGCTTGGCCTTAAAAAGGACCGTTTTAGCCGCAAAAAAAGAGACTTCCAAAGGGTTTGCCAAGAAATTATTTCTTGAGACACTGACAGACGTGTGTGTGTGTGTGTGTGTGTGTGTGTGTGCGCACATGCCACAAACTTCTACAACACTGTGGTTTTCTTGCCTATAAAACGCGTTGCCTACGTGGTTCAGCACACTGCCTGCTCGCTTGGAAGCCCTTATGTTTATGAGAATTTAAGAATGATATAAAAATGTCGTGTCTTTTGTCGCTTCCACTTTGGTGGGAAGTTGCTGCCCTGCGGAGGGGGGATGTTGAGCTGCTTTAGGCGACACTTGAACCAGCCGGAGGTTTCATCAACTCTCTCCCTTGCCTCAAACTTTCTCTTCCTGAATAGCCAAGAACATTAAATAAGTGAGCTCACCCTTTTCTTGCTCTCCAGTGGAGATTTTAAAATAGTCGTGAATCCGAGCCCATTAAGCGGTTTGTTGTTGCAGTTGTTGCCTGGATGAG